CTCTGTCACGCTGTCCCCACCCCAGCAGCCTCCATGGTCTCATCTTCCCTCACTGCAAAGTGAAACATCAGCTTTCAGATCTGTTCTGCTTTAGACCCTTTTAGATTGCGTCTCTGTTCTTCTGCATTTCTGCCCATTCCGGAAACAGCATCTTGAATGGATGGAGTCCTTTCAACTTGAATTGAATTAAATGGTGATTGGCAAAAGTTTTTGTGGATTAGATTCATAGTTCTTTTACCTAAGGGTAGATATTTGGTGTATTTCTGTGAATTACGTTTCAAATTCGAGGTCACATAAACAACTTAAGGTTGTCTGTGAATTTACTGCCTGTCAAGGGAATGTTTACTAAGAATGTTTTGTTATTTTGAAATATAAGACAAATTTTCCATTACCATTAGGTTTCTAAAACTTAAGAAAGTTCTCTTGGCTGACAGTGTTGCTTTAATTCATAAGCTGCAGGACAGGGTAGTAGCTGCTGTAGATTACTTTCATTGATTATGATCACTGCTTGAATTGGCAGAGGAAGAAGTGTTATGATGATGAGAACTTGTCTTATTGTTGTGATTAGCTGTTACCAAAGTCTAATTACTGTGCGTGATACTAAAATGTGTAAGCTGCTGACACTTAGAGATAAGGAGATGAAAAGAAATCAGCTCATTCCAAATAGCTATTCTGTTTGGGGTTTTTTTTTTCATTATTGTTGTTATTTTTGTGTACTCTCCTGAGTGGTGCTTTAAAGTGCATGGATTAAGTCATGGCTTTCGCTGCAAAAGCTGCTATCAAACTTCGGTTGTGGTTTAATAAGTTTTAAGCACTAAGGGAGTGAATAAAATAAGGGTGATTGAACTAGAGAAACTGAAAGGTGATGACAAGGAATTCAGTTAATGGTATGTACATCTGCTGAGTGAATGAATGCATTGTTATTAGCTGTTAATTCAGTTGCTGTAGGCAGGATCCAAATGTGATTGAGAAGAGGGTAAAGCTTAGAAGCTCTGTTCCCATAGGACTCAGACATGCGAAAGTGTCGTTTCTGCCATGCTGGCTGCTTCAGAACTGGCATTTCCACAGAAAAGTAGAGGTTTTCCCACTGTCTTGATGAAGAAATGTCCTTTGACTGGGAGGCAGGCTGCTCTTTTCCAGCTTTGAGACCTCATGAGGGGCACAGTCCTCAGAAGTTTTGCAGAGCTTCACCTGAGCTCAGCACCCTGGGGAGTCCTGCCATAACTACTGTGCTGACTTTAGAAAATGGTTTGGGATCCTCTGGGATGACAGATGCTTGTGTACGCACATGTAACATGCTGTTAATAATTAGAGCTGATTGGATATTCAGTACAAATTACACTGGCTATGAAGTTAGCCCCTTCTTTAGGCTTACAAGTGGCTCACAAAACACTGTTAAAGCATATTTTTAAATGTATGTTTTTTCATAAACATTGAGAGATTTGATTTGAACAGATAATGTCGAGTCTGAGTGTTTTAAAACTCTTGCTGGGCTGTTGACTGTCAGTTGTTAATGGTGCACGTTTGGATTTCTGAGTCACAGGGTAAATATTTTCTCTTTCCAATTTCTAGTATAAAGCATGAGTTTTGATGATAATTTTAAGTGCTAGTCCCTCCTAATGGTGTGTCTGCCCCCACGCCTGGGCCCACGTGCCATGTCTTCAAAAAGAACTCCTTAAAGAAGAGAAATAGGTCTGACTACATCCAGCAAACATGAAGAAAAGAGAATATTTCTATTTTCTATCATTCTCCATGTCACCTGGAAGCTTGGTTGGAGCTTTCTTTCGCAGTTTTCCATCATGAGTTGGGTTACTTCCCAAACCTGCGTGTCCTTGTGTGAATGTGAAGGAAGAGCTGTGATTTTTTGGAATATTGACTCAGGCTGAATCTGCCTCCGGTGAAGGAAAAAGAACATTTGAGCCCCAATGGCTGCATTTACCATATTCTGCAAAACAAACCCCACACATGCAGAGCCATGGTCTGTTTCAAATTCATATTTGATCTTTGTATGTGTCCAGATATACTTGAAGGGATCCTCTAAGACAGCACAGTGTGTTGGCAGAAAATAAATATTCACTAATAGTAGTACCAACAGCCATGGCTGGTTTGAAAAGTGACTAATGATTTCAGTGTAAGCAAATCTGAAATACTTTAGAGAAGCCTGTTTTTCTGCTGAGGAACAGCTCTCCATGCACTGTTGGGAGCAAGCCTTGCTTGTTGCTAGAGGAACTGAAAAGGAACAAAACTCAAAGATATAATGATATAAGTCTCTAATTGGGGCAGGGATGGTAACATCTGTGCTGGGTTCTTGTCCAGGAGAAATAAAAATCCACACCAGCAACATCTTTATATCCTCTTCATTGACTTTGTTGCATCCACTGCAAAAAGATTTAACCATTTACAACAGGCCTGAAATAAATTTTGCACAAAACAGTGATGTGCAGTCCACAAATAAAAGCTCTTCTCACATGTATGGCACGTGTGTGGATGCAGTTATCCTTAGGAAACACACATTTAGTTTGGAAAAACAAACAAACAAACAAATGCCAAAGAGGATAGGACAGCAGCAGGGTAGATCACCCTTTTTCTGCGACCTACCTTTGTAT